TCATGCAAACACGGCTCAAGAGAACCGCTAATAAAAGTAATTTTCGGATCTGCCTCAGTACCCAGATTTACCTCCTCCAGGGGATCTTGTACTTCTGCCTTCAGATCATCAAGTTTTGCTGGTGCCAGATCTAATTCCTCTAGTGTTATTTGATCCTTCAAATCTTCCTCTTCACCTTCATAAACTACTTCAGATCTGTCTACACAGATTCGTTTTTCAGCAAGGTAAGCCACTAACTTTCTCTTGATTTCTTCCACGACCTCCTTTTTCTGATGCTTAATTCGGTCTTTCTTCATGGAATTTCTTCGATTTTAGGTTCCTCCCTCGGCCTAAAAGGAACAATTGCTGTAGGCCAAAGTAGTTCATCACACACCTCCTTCACAGTCTGTCTGTCCATTGTAGATCTGGTGCAGGCAGTAATTCCAGAAGGTCTGCCATAACGGTCCATCCCAAAGAAACGGATAGTCCCAATATCTTCATCATAATAACGAGCCTCCACTGCATTGGTACTTGCCACAAAAGGCTTGTCATCTGCTGTCACAACTTCAGTTCTGCCGCCATTCCAGAATATTAATTTCTGATGCAAAGTTGAAGGAACGCACCAGCTGGAATGTATCCAATCTCTCCCAAGCAATGCATTATAAGTGGCAATGGTGTCAACCACAAAAAATGCACACATGAGAGTTCTATTCCCAACAGTCAGCTCCACCTGCAGAATTCCCCTTGAGCGGTTTATTCCACCAGTAAAGTCACTGATTGTCACTTCTGTCTCCATTAAATCACTCAAAGTTTTGCCAATCTTGTGCAGAATACAAGTTGGCAAAACATTGACAGCTGCTCCATTATCCACCAGAACTCGATTTATTGGCATACCATCCAGATGTGCCTGAATGTATAATGGCCTGATGTGCTTGGCCATCCTCTCTTCTGGTTTTTCGAAAATGATTTTATCTGCTGAATCCATACCACCATCTTCCTTGGCTGGGATTTCAATGACTTCTTCTTCCTCAGTCAAATCTGTCTGGTGACAGACTGCAGATTCTAACTGGTCTCTTGCTTGAAAGACCAAAGGAAGGGTGATCACCAAACAAGATAGATTCACGAAAAACTCACCAAAACAGATTACATCTGATGAATTTTTCGCTTTATCTGGCACGTCAAACTTCGCCTTCAAACCAGTTTCTTCATTGGATTCCACAGCCAGAACTCGAGGTGATGTTGGAATTCTGGGTGGTTCTTCCTTTTTTGGAGCATTCTGACCAGATGAGCTCCCTTTTTCCTTACGGACCCACACTGATTTTCTTCTTGCTGGGAGCGGCGGTGCCTGATCTGCCATGCCCCCTGAGTCTGTAATCTGCTGTTGGTGTCTTTCTGCAGCCCTTTTGCGTTGTAAACGTCTCCTCAAGGTCCTTGGATTTTGACCTTTAGGAAATTTTGGATGCACCACACGTTCCCACCGTTTGGTTGGAGATCTGGGTGGTGGTTTCACCATTCTGGGCTTTTCTGCCAGATTTGCATTATTTTTCTGTTGAGTTGAGTTGTGCCCCCCGGGCTGTCTCCTTCAGTATAAACCTGATCTGACCTGATTTCTGCGGGTCCTCGCCTCCTCAATGACCCACCTCAGATCATCAGCTGCAAGTCTACGCCTATAGTATGTCTGAGTTCTGTCCCTGGCAATGCTCCTGAGATCTGCCGCGTTCACCCCAACAGACATGGTAGGGAATGGATCTGCATCAACTCCCATAGTTTCTTTGGCCTTATCTGGAAAACG